GAGGACTTTAAGTGCAAACGTCAATCAACAGAAAGCAAACTCAACCACACAAACAACCATCCAACTAAACTGAACAACAATCATACATACTTGTATCCAACCTTAACTAACCTAAGACCTAAATATACTTCCACAATCTCTATATTATTGTTTATTTTTTTTTTCTACATTAAATATACAAAGTATTTTCCATATACCACCCCATAGACCCCCTTTTAACCAGCAACGTGCTTGATTACAAACAATCATTGACTGAATGAAAATTAAACAACAACAATGTACTTATTTTATTATTTAATAACAAAAGCCAGCCAGACACATACAATAATACTTAATTATTTGCTCGATCATATGAGTTTTGCAATCAGCTGTTTGTTTGCTGTGTTTACATTTTATTAATCTTGTTTTTTTCTGTTATTGCCGTAGTTTTTTATTCTTCTTTCTTCAAGGGGCATTTGCACACGATACACCCATACACATTAGCCGATTTAGTCAAAATAAATAAATAAAAATTTGCACACATACAAACTAACCAGCTATCAACAGGTTCGTTTCTCCCTCCAACTTTTTTACGTTCGCTCTTTGTTTTAATTATGCTCTTTCGTCGAAATGTATTAAAATTTGGGACAAGTGTTTTTTTCTGCTTGCAAAAAGGGGAAATTCCAAAATCTCATTTATTTTCTCTGAGTGTTTTATTTTACTAATTTATTTACTCTCAGCATTTCTTTGTTTACGTTTTTTGTTTGAGTTTCTCATTGAGTGTATTTGTCGTAATGCTATGAGTGGCCATAAATTTAAGAGTGGCGCTAGCAACACTAAATTCCTAAATGTTGACAAAGTTGTATTTTATGTTTTAGGACAGGGTTGCAGATACTAATTCAATTGATGTTTAGCAATAAGATGAGTAGAACTTTTAAAACATGTTTATATATTGAGAACTTTTATTAATTTAATAAAACTGTGCGAAATTTATTTATAAATTCATAAACTGTTTAAATGTTAGTCCTCTATCGGACCTTTCAGAGCTTTACCAGTTAGTTAGTTAGGTAGGTAGGTAGGTAGGTAGGTAGGTAGGTAGGTAGGTAGGTAGGTAGGTAGGTAGGTAGGTAGGTAGGTAGGTAGGTAGGTAGGTAGGTAGGTAGGTAGTTAGTTAGTTAGTTAGTTAGTTAGTTAGTTAGTTAGTTAGTTAGTTAGTTAGTTAGTTAGTTAGTTAGTTAGTTAGTAGTTAGTTAGTTAGTTAGTTAGTTAGTTAGTTAGTTAGTTAGTTAGTTAGTTAGTTAGTTAGTAGTTAGTTAGTTAGTTAGTTAGTTAGTTAGTAGTTAGTTAGTTAGTTAGTTTAGTTAGTTAGTTAGTAGTTAGTTAGTTAGTTAGTTAGTAGTTAGTTAGTTAGTTAGTTAGTAGTTAGTTAGTTAGTTAGTTAGTTAGTTAGTTAGTAGTTAGTTAGTTGTTAGTTAGTTAGTTAGTTAGTAGTTAGTTAGTTAGTTAGTTAGTTAGTTAGTTAGTTAGTTAGTTAGTTAGTTAGTTAGTAGTTAGTTAGTTAGTTAGTTAGTTAGTTAGTTAGTTAGTTAGTTAGTAGTTAGTTAGTTAGTTAGTTAGTTAGTTAGTAGTTAGTTAGTTAGTAGTTAGTTAGTTTAGTTAGTTAGTTAGTTAGTAGTTAGTTAGTTAGTTAGTTAGTTAGTTAGTTAGTTAGTTAGTTAGTTAGTTAGTTAGTTAGTTAGTTAGTAGTTAGTTAGTTAGTTAGTTAGTTAGTTAGTTAGTTAGTAGTTAGTTAGTTAGTTAGTTAGTTAGTAGTAGTTAGTTTAGTTAGTTAGTTCGTTAGTTCGTTAGTTAGTTAGTTAGTTAGTTAGTTAGTTAGTTAGTTAGTTAGTTAGTTAGTTAGTTAGTTAGTTAGTTAGTTAGTTAGTTAGTTAGTTAGTTAGCAGAAAGGAAGTTGGTCATGCTTCGACTATATTCGATTTCTAGATACGTGATTTGACAAGATATTGTTTGTTCGTTTGATCCTTTAAAGGGCAGATCCTTACATTGTTGTCTTTTTTTAGAGACGATCCTCTTTAAATTTGTTAGTGAGATCTTAGTATTTCTTGGGAGATCATATTTTATATTAAATTTTTGATTTCAATTAATCCCTTTTTACAGTTTAATTATATTTTAATTATCTTTTATAGACTATTTGAAGTATGCCAATTCTTAGAACGAGAAGGTCAACTAATGGTTTTATTGGTATTCGAGCATTTAGAACAAGATCTATCAGATTTAATAGAACGTTTACCCAAATCAGGAATGCCTCCTACAACCATACAGGTAATATTTAGGAAATTTAGAAAAAAAAATAATCTAAACTTTAATTAATTTTAATTATTTCAGCGCCTTTCCCGTGAATTACTAACCGGTGTTGATTTCCTACACTCACATCGCATTATACATCGTGATTTGAAACCTCAAAATCTTCTCATCTCCTCTCAAGGACATTTGAAAATTGCCGATTTTGGTCTGGCCAAGACATATGATTTCGAAATGAAATTAACTTCAGTTGTTGTTACACTATGGTATCGTGCCCCAGAGGTTTTATTAGCTCAAACCTATAATAGTTCTGTAGACATATGGAGTTCAGCATGTATTATAGCTGAAATGTTTTCACGCAAAGCATTATTTCCCGGTACCTCGGAAGCAAATCAATTGGATCGTATATTTGAGTAAGTGCAGTTAGAATAAATATAAGAATTAATTATAATGTTGAATGTTTTTATTTTGACAGATTAACTGGTCGACCTACAGCTCAACAATGGCCTAAAACAATATCCTTGTCTAGAGAACATTTTCCATTAAGACATCCCAAACAACCAAGGGATTTATGTCCTAATCTTTGTGAATATGCAAATGATCTGCTGGCAGTAAGTTGAACTTTTTGGTTTTGTATTTGTATAAGCACAATTACCGCATTTATGTTCCAACGTGCTTTCATTTTGAAATTGACCTAAACTGTCTTAGATTTGTTGGTCGAATTCGAATGATTAAACCGGTCAACAAAATTCGAAATCGAGAGATCAAAGTATAGTTTTCTAAAGGATTGAACTGTTTTAAAGCTTTATTATAACGAATCACGAAAACCTCATGTGATACATAAATTCTGAGGTCAGACCAGAGTATACTTTGTCCCTGTGTTAGAAATTTGTTGGCCTATCTATCTATCTATCTATCTATCTATCTATCTATCTATCTATCTATCTATCTATCTATCTATCTATCTATCTATCTATCTATCTATCTATCTATCTATCTATCTATCTATCTATCTATCTATCTATCTATCTATCTATCTATCTATCTTTCCATCTGTCTATCTATCTCTCTATCTATCTATCTATCTATCTATCTATCTATCTATCTATCTATCTATCTATCTATCTATCTATCTATCTTTCCATCTGTCTATCTATCTATCTCTCTATCTATCTATCTATCTATCTATCTATCTATCTATCTATCTATCTATCTATCTATCTATCTATCTATCTATCTATCTATCTATCTATCTATCTATCTATCTGTCTATCTATCTTTCCATCTTTCTATCTATCTATCTCTCTATCTATCTATCTATCTATCTATCTATCTATCTATCTATCTATCTATCTATCTATCTATCTATCTATCTATCTATCTATCTATCTATCTATCTATCTATCTATCTATCTATCTATCTATCTATCTATCTATCTATCTTCCATCTGTCTATCTATCTATCTCTCTATCTATCTATCTATCTATCTATCTATCTATCTATCTATCTATCTATCTATCTATCTATCTATCTATCTATCTATCTATCTATCTATCTATCTATCTATCTATCTATCTATCTATCTATCTATCTATCTGTCTATCTATCTTTCCATCTTTCTATCTATCTATCTCTCTATCTATCTATCTATCTATCTATCTATCTATCTATCTATCTATCTATCTATCTATCTATCTATCTATCTATCTATCTATCTATCTATCTATCTATCTATCTATCTATCTATTTATCTATCTGTCTATCTATCTATCTATCTATCTATCTATCTATCTATCTATCTATCTATCTATCTATCTATCTATCTATCTATCTATCCGTCTATCTATCTACATGTTAATTAATAAAAATACTTTAAAATAATGCATTTTATAAAATTTTATTCCTTAGCAAATGCTGTCGTATGATTTACGTTTACGACCCTCAGCCTTGGCTTGCTTAGATCATGAATATTTCCAGCAGGAGCCAATTTAATAGTAGTGGTATTGTTTCAATTATAAATTAATATTTGTTAGTTTATTAGTTTATTTAATATTAAGTTATACGCATAAAATAAACCTAGAACTATACATAAATATGCAAATATTCCTTAATGCATTTGAAATTGAACTTTAAAAAAATGTGTTCAATTAAAATTCTTCAACAAGCGTTAACTGCCTTAATCAACGAAATTATTATTCAAAAAATTAAAAATAATATTTACAACTAATGATTTAAAATCATTTAATCAAATAAACTATTTGTAAAGTGTTATGTGTTGTGAATTTCTAAAACATATTTGATTTTGTATTGTGTTCATTTTTGATTAGTTTACACGTACATTTAAATGTAACTTTATCTGTTTCCATTACTATTATTATTTAATTTGTTTTCATTCGAATTGTTTATTTATCTCATGATTTTCGATTTTTTTTTTTAGTTTTTCCTTAGTTTACGAATGCAAAATCTATATGTTTGTATAAAAATATACAATAAAATATCCTAGTTTATTATTTAAGATTTACATACATGTTTATTAAAATAGTTTTTGTAAAAATATGTTTTAGTTTTTACTAGTAAGTCTAATTAAGTTTATATATGAATATGTATGTATCTTATGGAAAAAAAAACAAAATTTAAACAATAAATTTAAAGAAAACCATTTAATTACTAATTGTTGCATATGTCAACAATTTAAACAATGCATATTTTCAAGCCTTTA